TCAATTTACAAAAATCATCAGCCTATTTACCAATTATGAACAGACTGAGAAAGAATATAGAAAAACAATTTCATTCAAAATAGCCTCAGAAATAAAACACCTAGGAATAAACTAAACAAAGGATGTGAAAGACTTCTGCAATGAAAACTATAAACCATTGAAGAAAGAAACTGAAAAAGACTTCAGAAGATGGAAAGATCTCCCATGCTCATGGATTGGCAGAATGAATATTGTGAAAATCACTATATTATCAAAAGCAATCTACATGTTAAATGCAGTCCCCATCAAAATTCCACAACATTCATATAGCGATTGAAAAATCAACCCTAAAGTTCATTGGAAGCGCAAAAGACAGTGAATAGCCAAGGCAATACTAAGCAAAAAGAACAACTCTGGAGGTATCACAATACCTGATTTCAAACTATACTACAGAGCCATAGCAATAAAAACAGCTTGGTTACTGGCACAAAAACAGACATGAAGACCAATGGAACAGAATAGAAGACCCAAATATGAATCCATGCAGCTACAGCCACCTGATTTTTGACACAGGCATCCAAAACATGCAATGGAGAAAAGACAGCCGCTTCAACAAAATATGGCTGGGAAAATTGGAAATCTGCATGCAGAAAACTGAAACTGGACCCACGTTTCTTACCCTGTACAAATATCAACTCAAAGTGGATTAAGGACCTTAATAGAAGGCCCAAAATGACTTCCTAAGCAGAACTTGAATGGCTCAGCAAATAAGAGAAAGGCTTGAATGGCTCAGCAAATAAGAGAAAGGATGAACAAATGGGACTGAATTAAACTAAACATCTTCTGCACAGCAGAAGAAACTGTCACTAGACTTAAGAGACAGCCCTCAGAATGGGAGAAACACTGCCATCTATTCATCCAATAAAGGACTAATATCCAGAATCTACAGGGAGCTCAAAAAACTCAACCCCCAAAGAATCAACAACCCAATGAAGAAATGGGCAAATGCGTTGAATAGGGAATTTTCAAAGGAAGAGGTACAAATGGCTAAAAAATACATGAAGAAGTGCTCAACTTCTCCGGTCATAAACGAAATGCAAATGCATCTCATCCCAGTTAGAATGGTTATCATCAAGAGCAAAACAACAACTAATGTTGGTGAGGATGTAGCAAAGTGGGAATCCTTAAACACTGGTGGTGGGAATGTAAATTAGTACAACCATATGGAAAGCAGTATGGAGATTCCTTAAAATAACTAAAAATAGAACTGCCATATGATCCAGTGTTACTACTCCTAGGCATATACCCAAAGGAATGTAAGTGAGGTTATAATAACCTGCACACCAATGTTTATTGCAGCACAGTTCACACTATCCAAGCTATGGAAACAGCCCAGATGCTCTACAACTGAATGAAGAAATGGTTATATATATATATATATAACTAGGAGTTCAATGCAATGCAAGTATGTTGAAAGATATAATTAAAAATGGAAGCCCTTAACTTTTGTCTAACCTGCCTCCCCACACCCCCCCAAAAAAAACCATCTAAAGGATTAGTTGTAACTGAGAAAAACATCCTGTACACTTGTAATAAAAAAGCAACAGTTTGTACTTGCTTTTTTGTTGCTTATCAGATGTATTGTGTTAGCAGCAAAAAATTGTGTTAGGTCAAAGTCAGGCTTCTAAGAGATTTAACTGCTTATTGGCATGAGATTTATGGGGAAGTCTGATCAGCCTGATGTAGGGATGTCTGCTGTTAACTCAATGTGCTTCTCTGGCCTAATAACTACCTTCTGAGTTTCTACCTATTGGTTAGCGACACTCTAGGTACTCACAAAACAAAAAGGTTAGCAAATGATCCTCAATCTATTGAAATTACAGATTTTCTAAAGATTGTTCAGGATCAACACCAGGTATTGTTTATTAATAGTCAAGACTTTAAGGCTGGTGGAGTGGCTCAAGTGGTAGAGCACCTGCCTAGCAAGTATAAGGCCCTGAGTTCAAACTCCAGTACCACCAAAAAAAAAAAGTCAAGACTTTAGCCTGAGAGGCTGAACTGTGAACCAGACAGACTCCCTTTTTGTCCTCTTGCCTATGGCTTCAATCCCTGTTGGGTGAAGTGTTTACAACAGATGCACTGCTTGGAGAGCTATCTAAGATCAGGCCCACCCATTCTGAGGAAAGGTCTGTGACATGCAGCTGCTCTCCCTCCTTGGAGATTTCATAATGCGCACTGGCGTATGACTTTGAGAAGTCTTGCTTTGAAGAACCTTTCGATCTTTGTAGAACTGAATCTTTCCCAAACTTCAGTATGGGGGATTTCTTTTTACATTACAGTTATATACTGGGCTCACTTTCTGAGGAACAGGCATTCAGAATTACTTCCCAGGCTGTATTTGCTTTCCTCATTTCTATTTGGCCTTTGAAAAGATGGTCAGTTTGAGTGTGTGTGTGTGTGTGTGAACAAAATGGGTGACTGAGGATGGGGCTTTGAATTTAAAAAAAAAGCAAAAATTTCTAAACCAGTCAACTCTAAATAATTTAGCACTTATTGTGTGCACACTGTCAATCACTGTATTTATTTAAACATCTAATCCTCAGAACAACCCAAAGATGGAACTGTTACCATCACTCACATAGAAAAGGTTCGGGGAGAAGAAGAAATTTTACTCAGCTAATGAGAAGCCACAATTTGAGCTCAGGCTGCTGGCTGGTTTTGGAATCAGCCCTCTTAAATGTGAGCAAGCCAGAAATTCCCACAGCTCACCAGCATGGAGACATGGGTCTTTCCCTCTTCTCAGTTTTCAGGAGAGCCCCAGGGAGAAGCCAACACCATATGGCTTCATATAGACCCTCTGCAGTTTCTAGCCATGACTTTGGAAGTGTGACTTGTCTGTCTGCTTCAGGTTTGCCCGCACAAAATGAAAAAAGGAGGAAGAGGCTTTGAGTAGTCAGTGTTTGTTCACCATTATCCCATCAAAGCTAGTCTCATGATAGCTTCCATCTATTGACCTGATTCTATCTTCTGTACTGTCACATTCTGACTGCCATCTTCCCTACAATGGTCTTTCAAATACTTAGAAGCAACCCTTCTTCAGGCTAAATACTGCTGGGTATTTTAATCAAGTCTTCTGGAATCTATATCTATCTTGGTGGGACTAGAGTTTGAACTCAGAACTCATGTTTGCTAGGCAGGCTTTCTACCACTTGAGCCACTCCACCAGCCCATTTTTGTGTTGAGTATTTTGAGATAGGGTCTCACGAACTATTTTCCTGGGCCGGCATCGAACAGAGATCCTCCTGATCTTTGTCTCCTGAGTAGCTAGGATTATATATAGGTGTGACCACTGGTGCCTGGCTTATTTTATTTTTGGTGGGACCTTTTTTTTTTTTTTTTTGTGAGACTGGGGTTTGAACTAACAGCAAAAGCAGGTGCTCTACTGCTTGAGCCACACCTCCAGTCCATTTTGCTCTGGTTATTTTAGAGATGGGGGTATCTCAAACTATTTGTCCAGGCTGGCCTCATACTGTGGTCTTCCAGATCTCAGTCTTACAGACATGGGCCACTGGTGCCTTTAAACAGCTTATATGCCAATATGTGGCATTTTTATTTCTCTTTCCTGAACAAGATGTCACAAAGAGATAGTTTTTCTCACAGCCCTTAAAAGGCTGAAGTTCACTTCGTGAGTGAAGAACCTATTAATACCACTATACACAAAAAATGTTAACCTTAAAACAGAGTTTTATTTTGAAGTTTTTCTCTTTTTTAATTTTTCCTCCTACAATAAATACTTTAATGCAACACTTACTAAGTATTAAAATGGGCCAGTTACAGGGTCATGTTGGGCCTTAGCTGGATGAATGATTGTACGTTATTCTACTGTGACATTAATAAGAACTGGGTCTTTTGATGTAAGAAGATCCTATAAAGAGGATTTGACCAGATGCCTTCTAAATTCCCTCCTAATCCTGACATCATGAGACTGGAGGCTCCTCTGCAAAAATACACATATACTATGTTCCTCCTCATTCCAAAGGAATATGTTCATTATATATGTAGGGGAATCTCATTACCTACACACACACATACATATAAACATACCCTGTCTCCTTGTAAGGAATTGCCTCTTTGAAGTGGTTAGATTGGTTCTGAAGTGGCTGGTCTACTCCTGCTTATTCTCTCACTTGACACGTTAATCACCTCTTTATCTAGTCAGATAACCCTTTGGTTATTTCTACCAAGTATAAACAAACCTTTCCAGTAATGGAAACCCAAGGCAGTAACCTCCCGAATTCCGGGAGACCATTTAGAATTCTTGACATGGGAACAGCCCTTTGCAGCTCTTGGCACAGAGAAATGGAAGGCCTGCCAGTTCCTTTGGTGGCATGGCACAGTCAGAGATGTACAGCTTTGTGTATAGATTGTGGTGAAAACTTACACTCATATACACCAGGACCTGCCCAGCTGTGCTGACAAATAGTAGAGTAGGACAGTGTTTGTCCCCAGAGGGACAAAGCCGGATATGAGAACAAAGCATAGCTGAGTTTCTCGAGGATGCAGACCCACTCAATGTATTGAGTTCATCAACAGCTAACACATTTGCATGTCTCTCTATTTTTACATGTCTTGTTACTATAGGAAATGTTTCTTGGTAAAGAATTTAGAACGTTAAGTTAGAGGAGAAATAGAAATAATTTTAAATGCTTAGTAAATGTCTTGTTAACCATACTACCTATAACAAGACCATTATTAACACGCACAGAAAGCAACACAGGGAATGTTACTTTTGCCTCGTTTTGTGTTTAATATTATTGAACGCACTATTAATGTCTTAAAAAACACAGATACTAGAAACAAAGGAAACAAAACAAAAAACCCCACAGAAACTTTTAAACATTTATCACTTGTCTGGAGAAATAAATAAACTCTAAATGCTTATTTTCAGAAATCTGGGGAAAAATTTTTTTCTCTTCTGCATTTAAAAAAATTGATACAGATTAATTTTATTTTGACCTCTTTTAGTAACCTAAGTTGTCTTTACTGAGTTTTTAAAATTGAAAACATTTTTAAGTTCCAAATACAAGAAAGACTTAAGTACACATTTAAATCAGAAATGGGAATTTATTTTCTAGTACATTTTCTTTCCCTAGCCAAAAGCAGCTGAAAGATTTTTCCTTCTCTTCCTTTCTTATGACAAACGTTGGAGACACTGAAGAAGCAAAATATAACAGAATGGTAGTTGAGAGGACTAATACTCTGTGCATGGTTTTAATCACAGCCCAGTTAAAGTAACATTTAATATACATCTGCTCCCCTGATGCCAATGTCGCCTTTGGAAGGTCAGCATGTCCCACATCATTTCTGGATGGCCCGATACCTTATATTCTTTCTCAATGTGATTTTGCTTTTCTTCTTTAGTTTCCTGGATTTAAAATAATGGCCTGAGGAAAATCACAGGAGATTTGGTGGCTCTGTGTTTTTGTTTTAAAGTTGGACAAAGTTGGGCTGCTTAACAATCTGACTCGTTAAAATGAACTATGTTTTCAGTGCTGTAGGCTGGTGCAGGAGCCTGAGAGGCCCTCGGCTCCTCTTGAAGCTAAAAGCAGAGTTCATTCTTCTACCAGTCCAGTGCAGGATGAAAACGCCCAGGAACGAGATCACACTGAATGCCATTATTTAGAAGAGATTTGCATCTCATGGTATTGTTATATAAGTTATTCCCTTGAGCAAAAATCCCATTTACTCAGTGCTTAGGGAGAACATCGAATTTTATAACAATAATTGACTTTCTCTGTGGAAAACACTTTAAAATTTTCTATGATTACTTCCTTGCAATTTCCTTTTCTTATAGTCACGAATGCTGTCTAATCTAAATTTCTTAACTGCATTTAAATGGTGTGTGGGGGGGAACCCAAAGGGACATAACCAACCACAAAGTAAACAATTTTTGCCATTACACTTTCTTCTGGATAACTCTAAATATTTGTCATTTCTGCTCTGTTTTGACACTGCAGGATGATACATTTGTGGCTCAATGATGAAGCAATGTGCAGATGAGTGACAAAAAATAGAAACCAGAAAAGGAATATAAATGGAAATCAAACTTTAAAAATCCTACTAATACAACAGCTTCTCTCCTCGTGTACTCTCCTAATGTCCACCCTACACGAATTCACATTTTGGTTCCAGGAGGCTAGGACCCATTAGCCCAGATAATAAAGAACACTATTTATAGAGGGTAAAATGGAACCTGTTGAAAGTATCTACTGGTGGCAAACTTGCAAAAGTCTTCTGGAAGCCTAACAGATTATGTTCTGATTGTTTTCTGGATTCTGGGGACCATGGAAATAGAAAAGGGTAGAAACAAGGCATGCTTTCTGAGGCTTCTGGGGCTGCATAGTAGAAAAATAGGTGTTTTCCTTTGGGGATTTTTGTAGCCGAGAAGAGTGAGGTTGAATTTTCTGAGAGTCTGTTTTCATTTTCCTCAGTCTTTAAGGGAGTGGTAGGCTTTGGCAGTCCGGCTGTTGACAAAATCTGTCTTCTTAAACTGAGCCTTTGGGAGAAGGAGACAGAAATGTGAGAGTGGGAAAAATTCTCACACAAGGAAATACACTCATCTGATGATTTCTCACCAGAGTCACATCTAGTGTGCCATTAGTTTTTGGTTCTGGTAACAATAGTACACCCTGAGTCAGCACTCTTACCTTCTTATAGGCGTTATGGAGCTCTGTGTGTGCCCACAGAGAATATAGCAGGACAGATGCAGCTTTGCTGGCCTTGTTGGAGGCATAGCTGAAAAGAAAGACACCCAAGATCAGGGAGGGCAGATGGGCCTCTGATGGCCACCCTAGCCACCACCACACAAATCACAAGACAAGTGGATCGTGAGCTGCAGAAGGCAGGGCCACTGTTTTTCTTTCTTTCTTTCCTTCCCTCCCTTCCTGCTTTATTTCCTTCTTTCTTTTCTTGCAGTGCTGAGGATCAAACTCAGGGCTTCATGCATACTAGGCAAGCATTCTACCATTGAGCGACAGCCCTAGTTTTTTAATTTTAGTCTCTTTAAATCAGTAAGATAGTGCTAACAAATAAGTGATTTATAGAGAAAATCCCTGATATTTATAAGGGATACATTCTTAGCCATGCTTCAAATCCCTGAATTCATTTACAGAATACATTCTATATTTGTTCGTTTATGACATTTATAGAATACCAGGAAAAGTATATATATGACTCTTAGATTTAGTGACCCTATCAATGTAGGAATAAAGCAATTTTTTAAGTTAAAAAGTTCTTGTGGAAGTATGTGTTAAAGTACTTTCAAAGTCACTTTGCATTTTAGTATAGGGCAAATGGAAAACTTGTTCTGTCCTAAATCCAAGTCACCACTCAGTTTGACACTGGCCTTCCCTATTGGTGTTCTTGCTTCTAAAGGTGTCATGAGCTCCCCACTGCTAAGTGCAGATCAGTGCCTTCTCAGCTCTTTCTCTTCAACTGCCTGGCCCGCACATGACTGAATTTTCCTTCTCAACAAAGAAACAGGTTGTGGCATTTTTGTTGTTTTGGTTTACTTTGTTTTGTTTTCTATTCTATATCGTAGGGGTCTGGAAACATGCAACCAAGGAGAGGAAAAGCATAGCTGTAGGACAGAAGCCTGCTGGTCCCATTCCTCAGCCTACAGACTTCCTCTTCCATACTGCCTTGCAGGGAGGGCAGTCAAATCAGTACCTCCTAGAATTTTGAGTACTCCATGGACTTTTCAGTTACTTGATAATAACTAGAGTATAAATAAATCTATGAAAGCCATGGGTCTCTAATACTCAAAATTATAAAAAGCTCTCTTAATTACAAGGGTGTCCTGTTCCCTTGTCAGCTGGTTGCTTGGCACTTGGAACTCATTTATTGAAAGATATAATGTAGATGACAGTCCTCAGGCTAACCCATAATGATAGTAAGCAGGGAGCAGCAGGCACAACTGGACACCCTGTTCATCTGATTTCGAGGGGCCATGTGAGGGCTCACGCATAAGGGAGTATTCCAGCAGCCATGAGTGATAGAGGGGCATGTCTTCCTACCAAAGTGATGCTATGTTTCCAAGAACAACAATTACTACATGTGGATTCTCAAATAATTAAAATCATGCTACCTTAGGGCAGTTTGCTTACAAGTTTGAATGGTGATTGGAAGAGTCATTTCTGTTTTGCAGCAATAATTCATTTCTTTCTACAAAAACTGAGCCACTGCAATCTACCAGGCTTTGGGGAAAGGTGAACTTCCAGCTCTTGGGGACCTGACATTCTAGCCGGAGTTTGCAGCTCATGACTCTGGATGTGGTCTTCCTTTCTTAGGTGCTTTGCAGGAGGGGGACTGCAGAGCAATGGGGGCCTACAGAGGGTGGGGCAGTGGTGGAGGTGATGTGTGCTCATTCCAGGATACCACAGAGCCCTATTTGCTTCACTGTACAGCCAAGCACACATCTGGCCTCTTATGTGTGAGGGTGATGCCCATTTACTTTATAACTCATTCAAATTAGGTGACAACAGTATTTCTTTTCTGGTTATTTACAGAAGTAATTTGCATTTGTAACATGTTGAACAATTCAGAGTTGTATACCCCCTCTCATCCCATCATTCTAAATTAACTAATAGTAATGATTTGCTTACACCAGAACTGGGGCTGTGGGATGCCTCATGTCTCACAAGGGAACTGAAAGTGGAAGAGGTGGACAGAAAAAAACCGAGATAGCAAGGATTTCTTGTTGGGTCACTTCCCACTGCTCCTGTGCTACCACTGCTCCTGCTGTGACCTGGAGCTCTGGGGAAAACCTGCAGCTCTGGGGAAAAACCCAGACCTGCAGCTCTGGGGAAAAACAATTCATAATGTAATAAAATGCTGGAGTGCGCTACCAAGGCAAGCTATGCAGCCTGACTCTATCTTGATATTTTAGAGGAGAATGGATGACTGCAAGCTTGGCTGGTTCAGTTCTTCTCTTGCCTGATCATCAAGGACTGGGCCAGATGGTCTGGCCCAGCTTTGTGGTCGTGTTTGTGAATGACAGAATATTCACAACTAGATTATTTACATAGGAGTGGTGACAGGGAAAGAGGAGATACTGATGGACACTAAAGACTTACGCATCGCCTGCACTGATGGTCATAATTTTCTGTAGGCCCCCAGTGTTCAGAAGGTCCCGTGCATTCTGGTAACTATTTTGGATTATATTGTTCAATGTGTAACAGGCAGAGGCTGTAGTTTCAATGAGAAGGTCAGTACTTGGAACTGTGTCAGGAATTATAGAAATCAAATCGGGTAGAGTTTCTTTGGCTGCAAAATGAAGAAAAAGAACAGTCAAGAAAGATTTTTCTTAAGCTCAATATCCCAATATATTTTGGCTAAAGGGCACTTTAAAAAAGAAACACAGTTGAATTAACAATCATGGAAAAATATAACTGTTCTAATAAATTTGTTAAGATTTCTGTGTGTGTGTGTGTGTGTGTGTGTGTGTGTGTGTGTGGTACTGAGGTTTGAACTCAGGGCCTCAAACTTGCTAGGCAGGCATAGCTCTACCACTTAAGCCACTTGGTCAGACCTTTGACAAAGATTTTTAAAAAGGATGCTCTGTGCTTAGTATACTGAAAATCATTTCACAGAGCTATTTGACATAAATGTCAAGAATTTAAAATTTTTCATATTCTTCAATTCAACAATTCCACTTCTGGGAATATACCTTAAAGACATCACTTTAAAAATGGAAAAAGCTTTCTGTAGAGATCTTCCTGACAGAATTACATATAAGTGAAGAATTATCAAAAGCCTAAATATGCCATAAGAATATGCTTAATTATCTAGAATATTCTTGCAAAAATACTAGGCATTCTACAACATTTCTATGAAGCATGTCAAGAAAATGTTTATAAGGGCTGGGGGTGTAGCTCAGTGCAGAGCACTTGCCTAGCATGCACAAAGCCTTGGGTTAGATCCCCAGCACTGAGAAAAAAGGTTTATGATAATATTCTATGAGAAAAATAAGTACACTTATTTATATAAGGTAGTATAATAAAAGAAAATATAACCTTACTAATGTGCTAATGGAATTATTTTTCTACAACCGTATTAATGGCAACCTAAAAACATTTAAAACAGTTATCTGTATTTCCCAAAGTTTTTTTTTAATTCATAAATAATGCTCCTACTTAAAAAAAAGGAATGAATTATTTTAAATGGTATTTTCCACCATGTATATAACTTCTTGGTTATAGATTTGATTTTGGCTCTGTTCACAGTAATAAGAGAGGCACTGCTATTTGAAGACTTCACTTTAATTTATTTTGAGGCTTATATTTTGGGCAATATGAATTTCAGTTGAATTTTTATAATAATTCTTTTCATGTATATTTTTTCCTTTTCCTCTACTTCAGAATTCCTTTAAAAGATAAGGGCATGTCTCTGAAGCCTGTGTTGCTCCCTGCAGCTCTTCATAGTCTTGTGTTATATTGATCATGGACATGTAACAAATACTGGTTAATTTTATTGTTCCTTCATCTGTGTTCATATGGTACCCTGAGCTATAATTCTTTCTCTGTGACACTGGATTAGAATTAATTATGTGCCTATCTGAATTTCAAATGGCACTATAGGTTTCTTGAATATAATTACCTTTATTTCAGTGTTTCCAGCATCAATCATTATTCCTGAAACAGAGAGGTACTCAATAAAAGGCAGTGAAGGATGTATCATCCTGGGATAATATCTGGACCTGATTGGCAGGTAAAGCATCCCTTCTGCTCAAAGGCCCAAACACTTGAACACTTCTGTACTGTTGTTTAAGCATCATGGCATAGTGTTAAGAGCTTGGAGCTCAAGACTCTGAAGCCTGATTTCTTTATTTTCAGTCCTGGCTCTGCTACTTAATGGTCCTGTGACGTGGACAAGCTCCTTATTCTCTCTATGCTGCATTTCCCTAATTTATATTATGGACTAATAATAGAGACTCCACGAGTTGATGCATGTTAATTGTGCCCTGACACACTAAACTCTCAACAGATGCCAGGTATTACCAGAATGCCTCATCCCTTCAGGAGGTGAAACCACAGCATGGAAAAAGACCTTGAGAATATGAATTCTCCTTTCTCTTGTTTAGGTTGTCAACATGGAGATAAGTCTGAGACAATCACACAACACGGAATTCCCCAAAAATCTCTCTGCAGGGTGTTGTAATGGCAGCTTAGAGCTAGCCTGTCCACTAAAAACTGTGCCACCTGCACTTCCCCCCATACCAGGAGGGTCCACTTCTACAGATCAATGTTAAGAAAAACACTCAGGGTCATGGCTGAGGAGGAGTGGCAATTAAAGAAGTTTAACACTTTCTGTCATGTTGATTTTTCTTAGACAAGTACAATTGTTTATGTCAGTGAACAGTACAGTATAGTATGGGAAAGTATGGATCTATATGTATACTTCTCCATTTGTCTGACTCTCTGTCTCCCTCTCACAACCCTCCCCCCACCACACACACATATAAATAATATGTATCTGTGTCTATATATTCCACTCAAGAATACACTGTGGCTCTGAATAAGATCTTTGAATATTTGGATATCTGAAAGCATCTGCAACAATGAACAAATGTGAACTGGGATTCTAGAAATATATCCAATACTTCTCAGTACTTGTACATCCATTGTTTTATTTGATCCTTGGAAAAGGACTGAAGGTAGTCCTTTTCTCCCTTGGGGTAGAGCAGTTAAGTGACCAGCCAAGGTAAAATGGGCTGGCAACGCAGCACCGTGGGATGCAGACCCATGTCTTCACTGTGATGTCTATTATTCTGTTGCCATGCCTTCAAGATAGCTTGATGGTTTTGAGAAAATGTGTTTTTATATTTCTATAAATGTAAGTAAAATGTGATGACTTTATTCCAGGTCAGCACTTGGAAGGTTACAGAGCTTAGAAATCTCTCATGAAAAACACAAAGCACATATGCAAGTGATTTTCACTTACTCCTGGCTATTAAACTTCAGAATCAAGATGGGTCCTAGGACTTAAATTATATATTTGACAGAAAGCCAATTTGGAACTTAAAATTACATTTAACTCTCTGTTGTCCTTAAAGCAAGGTTTAGCAGTGGAACCATTTTATATAAAAATATGGAGCTATAGCTCTACCTCCCAACAGTTAGGGGGCTGCAGGACCTGAGATCCACAGCATTTCTGCCCTGAAGGGGTGTGCATGTTTCATCTGGGAAAAGAAAGAGGAAAAAAAAAAAGATAAAGGATAATACACCTCTATTAAAGTCCAGCACAAAAGCGCACAAAAAGACAACGGGAGAACACTTTCATAATTGTAAGCGTGCCCATGCGAGGTTTCTTTTAGATTCACTGAAACATTTCCAGGCCTGCCCTCTGTTTATAATGGGTGTGAGGCCACTGCACGAAACCTGTCGAGTGCACTGCTGGCTGTCTTTGAAAAGGACCTAACTGAAACACACTATAGACTTCGATGTCCCTGGCGTTGTGTGCAGATAGATTCCAAAGTCTAATCCATTGAACAAACATTTGTTTATAATTTTTGTGGAATTTCATGAAAAACTAAATTTAGGTTGTTAGGAATTATCAACTTATGGAACCTTAGGAAGCATGCTTAATTTTAACAGTTTAACAGTTTTAACTACTGTCTTCCTGCTATCTCATTTTATAGTTTACTTTTTTGGAGGGGGGATAGTGGGGTTTGAATTCAGGACCTTCTGCTTGCTAGGCAATCCACACCCCAGCCCTTTGTAGTTTACTTTTCAGATAGGGTCTCGTGCTTTTTGCCTGGACCATGATCCTCCTGCACCTTGCCTGGCCCTACAGTTTTTGACTTGACTCAACAAATATTTACCAGATACATCTTGGTATAAGTAAATGAATGAGAAATTATGTTATCTGACATTGTACCAGGCCCATTCATCAGCTTCTCCTCTTTATTGACATTTCTAGTTTGTCACTGGGAAAAGAATGTGACATGAGCCACACTTTATTGCCTCCTGTTTTCAGTATGTACATGCCCCAGGCGGACGCTTTCAGTGACTCACCAATTTCGTTCTGCAGAGAAAGGCTCCGAGACAGATTCCTTAGCAGAGAGACTGCAGTCTTCTTCACGCTTGGATCACCAATGTGCAGCATCTTTCGGGTGTGCTGAAGGCCGTTCTCCTTCTGGACGACGGTCTGAGCTACTGAGGTTGGCATCTGTTGGGAGATGGGTCCTGTAAGTGCCGCCACATTTGATTTCAGGGAAATGCTATGCTTTCCCAAGGTTACCAGTGGTTGGGGAAGATGTTTTAACAACTAGAACTGTGATGAAACCAGCCTCTAGATATTTTCTTTAAATTCTTACTAGTTTTTAGTATAATTACTCAACAAAAACAGTTCCTCTCCCCCAATTATTTTTTTTTTCAACCAATTCAGAGTTACTTTTCACAGTATTTTAAATGCTGGCTATGAAAACATTATAAGGGAGATGTCTTTGCGTATCACTTTGGTTTATTTCCTGCTTGCTGATTTAGTTATCTTTTCTGTTTCTTCTTGTTCAAATTTTGACATTTAATACATTCAATTATTGAATGTATGACATTCAACACATGCATTCATTTCTAAACAAAATCCAGTTTATTCTGAGACACAGCAGGCTTCTGAAGAAGCCTAGTTAGATTATTCGTAGTGCTAAGTCTGCGTGGGAGGCTACATGTCCAAGTAGCTACCCAAGTCTAGCTCCACTAGAGGCAAATCTAACTTGGAATTAGGCTGGCCACCTGCTTTCAGGGCTCTGAATATTGACCAGGCCCTTCCCAGCATCAACAAATCTCCGCTACTGTGGCCTTAGCTGTGTCTGTGACTTTACATTAGATTATTTGAAGCGAATTTGGGACTACCATACCAAAACTTCCCATTCTCCTTGATCACTCTTTCAGGGTGTTTATCTTTGGTTTGACTCATCTAAATACTGCTTGCCCCCTCCTTCCAGCTTTATTTCTTACTTTCTTACTCTTCTAGAATGAGGGTTATTGTTTTGACACAGAGTCTTACTATGTAGCTTGGGCTGTCCTGGAACTTGCTATGTAGACCAGGCTGGCCTTGAACTTGTGATCCTGCCTGTGTCTCCCAAGTGCCGGGATTATAAGCATGTGCCACCACTGTCTAGAACAGGGGTTCTTAATATGGGTCCAGAATAGGCTACAGGGGAGAGGATAGGGGATCCCTAAAACTACTTGGATTTTTTGTTTGTCTTGACATTGGGCCCTGGAATTCAGGGTTTTATGCTAGCTAGGCAGGTGCTCTACCACCTGACCCATGCCTCCAGTCCTCTAAAACTGTTTTTGTGTTTATAATCAACATCCCCAGCGAAATGGTCCATAACTTTTATTAGAGTTTCAAAGTTTCTATCCCAAGAAGTTTAATTACCACTATTTAAAAATGTTTGTTCTATTATAAACAAATTACAAACTGTGTTTCATTAATTTGCAGAATATTCTCCTCTAGGAAGAACTCTTCCTCTGTAGCCATGCAGGGAAGAATCCAGTTATTCATGTATACCACCTGTAAGCTGGGCCAGGATAGGTGGGCTTTCCTTTCTCTTCCTGAGATCTCATTCTAACAGTCTCTAATGTCTCCCCTCACGTGCAGAAGACTTGCTCTTTTGAGCTACTGCCACCCAGCAGCATTTTCTAATGGAGGCTTTGGAGCCTGTCTCTTAGCCTTCTTTACCTCCTATTCTAGTAAGTGACCAGACAGCCTACTTCACAATTCCTAGACATCCCCACAGTCACTGCCTTTCATCTCTTCCATTGGTCTCATGATCACACAGAACTTGTGTTCACTCAGAGACCCACTGCCTCTGGAAACACAGACTTGGCAATGTCAGACTCTGAATATATCTTCCTGTCTCCTTGTTCTCCCTTCCTATCATGTTTCTTTTCAGCCTCATTAAGAACTCAAGTTCCTTTATTTCATCTTTCATTCCCTATACCTCATGTTATCAATTCTTTCCTGTCTTAACTTTCTGATTTATATTGGGATACATGAATCATCACATCAAATATTACCTTTCTAATACCTTCAACAATCTTGTCATTCTAGCTTATTTTTCACTCATTCAACAAAACTGCAGTGTTGGGTTCATTGAATTTTTTGTCTTCTCTGATTTTTATACTTGGCTTCCAAATATTACTAGAGTAAATAGTACACTTTCATATTGGTACTTCTGCAAATTGGAATCTCCATTAGGAGCTCAAATGGTCCTAGTCAACCTCTTGCTGTTTCCTTAAACACCAGTGTGTGGGAGTTCAAAGCCTTAAACCAGAAAGATATTTCTAAAATTTAATCTGATTATGTACCATTTCAGGTTTAAACACTTTAGTGATACTCTTGCCTTCAGAATGCTGCTCTTGTTATAGCTCACACAGTTCTTCATCCCTTGGTACTTCCTTTCCTCTCCCTCCCTCCCACTATGCCATAATGCTCCAGGTTACAACTATCCTGAACTGCACTTTTCCGGGTAGTCCATAGCTCCTTTAAGGGAGGGAGTTCCCTGTTTCTTTCTGTGTACTTGACAGAAGATCAGAAATGATGGTTTGCATTCTTAACCACAATGCTAAGATAGGAAAAATACCAGTTTTATCATTTCACAATTTTATTCAAAACAGAGAGCAAGCATCTGTATAAATATATTGATATTAAAAATAAATGTGGTTTCTCAAGTAAAGAATGAATAATACTTTTGTTCTCTACAAGAGTGCTTTTCTCTATGATGATAGGTACTTGAAGACTGAACATACAGTGAACTGTTTTGAAGTTTATTCTAATCATTTTATGATCAAGGGAAAAAGTTCAAATAACTATCTATGGAATTTGTCAATATGTAACATGGTATGAAAAATACAGGAAAGGGACTAAACTAACCATTCTATGTTTTGACTTTGCAGTATAAAGTAAGAGCATTTGGAAAGAGAATCAGCTCTTTAGTCTGTGGTTGTATTTTCAGGACACTAAAGCACAGATGTCTTTTCTAACTCTACACTGCAGAGGACATCTGTTGTTTTTTGTCTGCTGAGCATTTATTCTTCCTTCTTTTATAACAATACTTGTATTTTCCATTAGAGAGCCACTCCTTCACCATCTCAGTCCATGTGGTATAATTGTCACTGATCCTTCACCTGCTCAAACCCATACCCCTGGCATATTACCCAGCCCTGGCTAATCACCGTCACAGCCTCCTACCCAGAGGCCCTGGTTGGAGAGACTGAGAACAGACCGGTGAGAGACACATTTACTCAGTTCTTAATGGCACTATTGGGAACATAGATTTTTCTTGTGGGGACATTGGGCTGGTAAAATGTAATCCTAAAATAATTCCTGGCTATCTTTGTTGTCATGTGGGCAGAGCCTTTGAGAACAATACACATGCGGAAAAGCAGAAAACGGCAGGGAGAAAGTCATAATTATCACTGGAGCACCTAAGTCCAGTCAGGACAGAAAGTGGACCTATTCCAAACTCTTTCAGTTTAGTGAAATAAGACATTCCTTTTTTCCCCCTTCAATCAGTTTGAGGAAGGGTTCTGAGGACTGTAACTGAAAGAGGACTTAGCAATACAAATTATCCATGTGTCTTTCCCTTGCAGGCTGGGTTATAGAAGCTGAGGCTGAAGATATTGGAGGGCTGAACCACTCTCTGGAAGTTTTTGAGGACAGTCTTAACTGAAGCGAGGAAACCTCTGCTCTTTCTTCAGTGCTTTATCTCTGAACCTAATAGAGGTATGACTGCAGTGCCATTATTTTAAAAAGTAGAAAAATGGGCATGATACTCACAGGGCCGCTTCCTGCCGTGAGATTCTGGAGAGCTCCTAAGGATGCTTCCTGAGTGTAGTTTCGCACACTCTTGGCAATCAAGGACAAATACATCCTTATCACAATGGAGTGCCACAGCCACTCTACGCCCTTGGGATTGCTCTTTTCCTCTGGCATTGGCACGTCTTGGTATTGCTAGTCACACACATAAGGGAATCCAGAATTAATGCACTTCAAGTGATGTCTATATTTCTGCATCCACACCAACAGACCAGAAATGCTATGAGAAAGACTAACAATCTGCATAGTAAGAAGCCCTTGAAATAGAAATTTAAAAAGCAAGTATGTATGCTTTCCAATCACTTAACTCTTAGCGATAATAATTACTTCTTCTTAGCAACACCCCGTAACTTTGCATTTCACAGTGAGAGAGAAATGAGAAAATTAAGCATAGGTGCCTCCAGAATGGTTTTCAGGCTGCTTTTTAGCTAAAAGCTGAAGATAAGGAAAACAGGCCTGTTCCCTCAGAGCCTTGTGGAGTTGTCCAGTGTAGCATCAAGGCTCTAACTTTACCAGTTGTTTTCCAAATTCACAAACACCATAACAATAAAAGGAAGAAGGCAGGTCACATTCTTTCAGTTTTTATGTATGAGATAAGTATGTATTCTTTCCTATGAGGCTTTAGTGTGTCCAATGTTTGTTTTTAAAAGGCACGATGCTAAATATTGGGGCTGTTTTTAATGTTTAAACAATGTATATACTCTTGGCCATATTGTATTAACATTATTTCCTAACTTTTAGTTATGCAGCAGTATGGTTTAATGGCTAACAATGGAAATCTGGAGCCAGATTGCCTGGGATTGAATTCTATCTCTTCCATGTATTTGCTGAATTAATCTGGGAAAACTAACTTTTTCTGTAGCTCTGTTTCCTCATGGCAAACAAAGATATTTATGATGTACACCACATAGGATTGATGTAGGATTAAAATAATTTAAAACAGTGCCTGACATATACTAATTACTCAGAAAACACACACATTTTCTCTCTCTGCCTCTGTCCCCTTGCCCACAAACACACTCTCTCTCAAAGCCCTCCCAATATACCTCTTTCACTTTCCTGCTTCGATTGCCAAAACACCCAATACTCTTGTTGTTGTCAGCCTGGATACTCCGGTTTTGAATATAGATACTTTGGGAATACTTCTCCGGGAGCTCTGTCTCCAGCTGGTAGGAGAGGTTATGAAGAATGCACACACAGTTCTCTGTGGCCTGAGAAAACAGAATTGATCATATACAAGATGGATATCCCCATCAGATGTGGTATCAAGGGCTTACTGGGCTTATTGGATGTAATTGGGTATGTTTGGACTGTGGGGTGCCTGGGGTAAGTGGGTAGAAAGGCTAAGGTTAAATCATGAATGGTCAGAAGAACACTGTTAAAAAGTAGAGGTCGAATTAATTTAAATAATGGCAAACCTTTCTACTTTACTTTCTGTTTTTATTTTTTGCAGTGCTAGGGATTGAACCCAAGCACATGCTAGGCAAGTGCTTTACCTCTGAGCTATACTGCTAGTCCTCTAGTTTACTTTTTAAGGAGCACATCCAGAATGAGTTCAAATTTTAGATATATAACTTAGCAGCGATGCTAAGTTGGAACATAGGAGGTAGTATTGTAAAGAATGAAGATGCATAACCTGAAGCAGCAACAGTAGTTGTTAGAGAATGGTCTGAAAGTCTTTTCAGAGGTAGAATGTGCATGGCTTATGGCCCAGTGGATATGAGCTGTGAGGGAAGGGAAGCAGTACAAGATTATTCAGATTTCAATCCTCTTCTGGTGGATGGTGATAATTTTATTTACTTATTTATTTACTTACTTATGTGGTGCTGGAGATTGAACTCAGGCCCTTGCATATGTTAGGAAAATGCTCTACCACTGAGCTACACCCCTAGCCCTAGATGGTGATAATTAAGAATGATTACACAGAAGAGGAACACATTTGGGGATGAGGAAAGAGATGAATTTAAGGTTACTGCTGAACATGTAGCATTCGGTTTCCTTCCAAAAATCCACACTGAGTTGTTAGACAGCTAGAGATTTGGGTCTAGAAAACAGAATAATGCTACATAGATTTAAAAATTCCTACACAGGTACAGAGAATCTTGGGCTCAGCAAACATGTCAATGAATAAATCTAAACCCAAGCAGCTGTTTGAAGAATTTTCTGAAGCATCTCAGTAAGACAGCAGGTCATGCAGTATGCAAGCTATTTAACTTGAGTTACCTTGTCATCTGGCTGGTAATCTGCAATGGTTCCTCTGACATAATGGACCAGGGAGTCAATGAGTCCCTCACACCTTCGCATTACCTTCCTCCCATCGGGGCCAGCTGAACTCATGTTCCTATCAGGAAAAACAAACAGAAAGGTGTGCCTTAGGCTAAGTATCCAACAGGCCTTGATTTCAAAGCTTCACTTGATGCCTCTTCTAGGTGCGTGGAAACTGGCACATTTGGAGAAGTGTGACAGACTTGTTCTGAGACCAGTAAATCATTCACTGCTAAAGATCATCAAATCTGAATGTGACTGCTAGACATACCCATACAACACAGAGCCATAAAGAAGTCATCTGTCTACTTCACATCATGTATCAATGCCTGGTCACTTTTCCTTAGTCTTCACACCATTTGTTGAGGGCAGAAGCGAGGCAAATGTTTTGCAATTAAAAGAAGAATGGCACATTAGGCGCAGCAACGCACTGGCCGTCCAAGTCTCAATTTGCTCCATGTCTTAACTCTAAATAACTTTAAGTTGCTCAGGGTCTTGGTTGCCTCAAATGTAAAGACAGTGTGTTGGTCTATTTTATTGTCTTGAAGGTTTCCATACGGCTATTGACAAATGTCAAGCCAGATGCTTTAAAATGTGATGATTCTATAATTAAAACGGCAGAGAGATGTCAGAGAAAACACAGTTTCCAGTGCATAAGACCTAAGACAAATCATGACCTATAAATATCTTTGCACTTAACTCAATTTCCAATTTTGCTGAGCCATCACACCTTTCTATAAACAGTCTCCAAGGCTAAAAGTGGAGACTGTTTCCTTATAGAGAAATGAAGCTTATCAAAGACAGCAGAGTAATGCATTTGGGGGTTACACTGCAGAGTCAGATCACATTTATATTCTGGTATTACTATTACTGCCTTCCTTGGATTAAGTTTTTATTAGCATTAACTGTGTGAAAATATTTCTCCCCAAAATATTCACACCTCTGTCAACTTCTTCAGTTTTTTTAGAATTTGAGAGCTACCTCCTATTCCCTTCTGCCATCTTTCTTTTTCAGTGGTACTGGGGCTTGAACTTAGGGCCTCAACGTTTGTTTGCTAGGCAGGTACTGTACCACTTAAGCCACTCTGCCAGTCCTGTTCTGTCATCGTTAATTGATAAAAATTGTTCCTATAAAATATATCAAACTAATTTCTTTTACTGGTAGGTAGAATATACAAAATATATTCCTGATTCAGACATTATTTCTTTATATTGTCTGTCATTTTGAACATCAAAGAAAACTAATGCTTTGAGAACTTCTGAGTCTTATTTTCTTCATCTTTAATACAATTCGCTCACGCCTATAATCCTAGCTTCTTGGGAGGCTGAGACTGGATTGCAGTTTGAGGCCAGTCAGGCAAACAGTTCACAAAACTCCATCTCCAAAATAACCAGAGCAACGGACCTGAGGCTCAAGCAGCAGAGTGCCTGCTTTGCAAGTATGAAGGCCTGAGTTCAACAGAAAAGAAAGAAAGAAAAGAAAAGAACTGCAGTAAGTGACTTCAAAAAGTCTTTCTGCCCCCAGATACTACTTTCAAAGAAATGAATGTGGGCTGGGGGTGTGACTTGAGTGGTAGAACGCCTACTTAGCAAGCACAAGACCTTGAGTCAAACCCCAGTACTGCCAAAAAAAAAAAAAAAGAAAACAAAGAATGGGTTCATTAACTAGAAATAAAACCATTTTCACTATAGATTCTTCTCAAGAAATATTCATTTAAACCACATTCTCTCTCTACTTTGTGAGCCCTGTAAGAATCATGGGATCATAAGGAGCTTGACAGAAATTGAAAAGACATCTTTTCCAGTCTCCTGATTTTTCACATGAAAAAACTGAGGTCCAGAGAGTTTAAGTTACTTTTTTGGTGACAGCAAATTCATGGTAAAGTTAGGATAAGAGGGCTAATTTTCATTCTGTGCTCAAGTGATCCAAAACAGAGCAAACCTCATCTAGTATTCATTCAGTCTGCCCTACCATACGTCCCCAACCACAGGGCAATGTTACCTAGCATACGTCTTAAAACTTCTCTTTGATCTTTTCCACCTCTGGAATTTAGAGATATGGCACTAGTTTAAAATTGCTTTGACAAATCAAAAGGTCTGTTCTGCTCACTAGCTAAATCTACTGCATACCTTGCAGATGGGCGACTTGGCTTTGTTTAACTTCAGAGTGTTTATTTTAGGTCAGAATGGTAATTTGATTTGGCAGTGATGCCAGTTCACACATACCGGCTGCTGTCTGGAGTTTGGCATTTTCCAGACCCTCCTCGTGTGAAATTGGGCTTATCAGGGGTTCCTGGCAGTTGATACCTTTGCTGACAGAAAGTGCATGGAATCCCACTTCTTCAGTACTTACCCCTGCATATCAAAAATATTTCCCACCTTACTCAACTGTCCAGAAATATAAATGATAAGGGCGGATTATTTTTATACCACTTCATCCATGAACGGAAGTCATTAGACAGAAAGTAATGTTAGTATACTTGGAAAATAACCAATAATTTATAGAAAGTGATATGTTTATCTTTTGTCATTGTTTTCAGACAAGGTCTCACTATGCAGCCCAGGCTGGCCTGCAAGCTTTGATCCTCTTGCCTCTGCCTCCTGAGGGTTATAGATGTGGACCATGTTATAACCATCTGAAAGTAGTTTTGAATGGCTAACATTTAAGTTTAAGGAGAATCAGAGAATTGACGTGGGACCCTCTGGCAGAAGTGATCCTTTTACAACATGTCTCTTGAATCCTGAGAAATATGTTTATCGCCATTATAAGTATGTAACCCAACAGAGGCATAATATGAAAGGTAGCTTCAAACTATAAATGAATATACCAAAATAATCACCTTATTGAAAAGACAGAACAAAAATCCAAACATAGTACTCTATAAAAATTGATTATCTGTTACTAACAGAATATATTAGAAATGTTTAATTTGGTGTCTATAGTTTGAATCTGATTAAATTATGGTCTTGTTTCCTTTGGTATCATTTAGCTTAAACCTGAGAAAATATGTGGGGTTCCTTTAAGGAAAGAAAAATTCCTATTGTTTATAGGATTTAAAAAATAGGTCCTTGTCCTAGGGGCTAAAGGCTAAAGCTAGTAACCAGGACACGAGATAGTCAATAGAGGGTTGGAGTGCATCATTTCAAGACATTTCACCAACAAAGAAGTAATATTTTAGAAGAAATCTCTTTTTAAATAGGGGTATTTCTACTTGATTAGGGTGTGGTTTCTAACACACCGTCTATGTATACTCTGTATACAAGACCTGGTGGCTATGGGACCAGTCTTAAGGACTGACCAGCATACTAAGATAGTGCTCACCTCAATAACGGCTTTAGAAAATTGTGGATGCATCTTTGTGCTCACCAACGGTTAGAGGCTTCCTCATACCATGCATTCATTATATGTTGTGCAGTAGGTCCCCAAGTGGTGTCAGTCCAGTAAGTGCTTGGTAGACAGTATTAGAATCCATTGTAAGACCTCAGGAGGCACTTCCTAAGACACTGCTGATAAGGAAGCATCCTTCATCCTCTTGTTATTCGAGATTTAGGTCGAGGCTTTATTGGACTCTCATCTGATACATATCGAACAGTTGTGCCTTGTCTGTGACTAACCAAGAGAAAGCAGCAGAGGCAGCTTGTGGTGTCCCAAAACAAAAGGGAGCCTTGTTTGAACTGGCAGAGGAAGAAAAACTCTGTGCCACAAGAAGCGCTTGTCTGTTACTCTGAAGTCAACATCAGTTCCTGAAGGTATCAGCTCACATCAACCAAAGGCAACTACTTAGTCTGCAAGCAACAATACCGGGAGGTAGAACAAGAATGCACGAACTACACATCTTGTCCCTTTCAGAACAGTATTAATGAACAAAGGTATAATAAAAATCTTTTACACATCAAAAAACTAAACAGGGTTGGAGGAGAAAATTCTTTAGCTCTGCTTTTGTGTATTTTTTGGGCCTTCTGAAAAGTCAATTAAGCCAGTAATCGTGTGGTTGGTAGGCAATAGTTCATTTCCTCTTGATTTACCTACAACCATCTGTTTCGGTAGAATGCCAAATTCCATTTAAAACAGATTATAAACAGCAAACTGTAATTTAAAAATACATGTGGAAGTCACTGCCACTTGAATGAGCATTCTTGGAATTAAAGGAGATGTCTGGAATGTCAGAGTAGGATTAACGAAGGTGTTTAAGATGTAGAGTAGAATAATGCGATGTGCAGACATTCTGCACCTCCAAGACAGGCACAGACTTTCAACCACAGGCCAGGGACAGAGCTCTCAGTGGTTTTATATCAATGTACTCATTTTTAAAAATAATAATGACTTTTAAAATGTTGGGTTGGTGGAGTGGCTCAAGTGATAGAGTGCCTGCCTAGCAATTGTGGGGCCCTGAGTTCAAACACCATACTGACAGGGAAAAAAAAAAAAGTTAGGAGTTGGGGGTGTAGCTCAGTGGTAGAAAGAGCATGCACAAGACCCTGGGTTTGTTCTCCAGCAGAAAAATATAAACCGCATTTTTTTAGAAGTACTTCTGACTATGATCAGTTTTGAGTTTTTGAGAAAAGACTTTAGGTGTCATAAAATACAGGTCATAAAAGTCCCACCTTCAATTTAAGCTATATACTGTTTTTTTTTCTTTAAACATTAGGATGCTTTTAAAAATCTCTGGCACAAACATTCTTGGAAAGTTCTTTTTTCTGTAGTTTAATTCATTAAACTCAACCCATAAACTAATCAATTCAGAAAAGACCAGTAAAAATAGTCCTTTTGATATAATTAGTAAAAAAATTATTCTTCTGTTTTCTCTTTTGATTCTTTTTCTTCCATATTATTTCTATTCACATATTTTCTTTAACAATTATCCTAGAACTAAACTCAAAGTAGGCAATCACTATTTATAGACCAACTGATAAAAATAAAGAATTTCAGGGCACTCTCTCTTGGGACCCCTACCAGCTCTGGGAGCTCTACTCTTTGCTACTTTTCTATCTCAATAAACTCTCCCACTTTACACACACACACACACGCACACACACACACACGCACACACACACACACACACACACAAGAATAAAG